AATCCTACAGAACGTCACAGAAATGGGTCTTCTCAATGATTATAATGTGTAAGATCACATTATTTTTTCTGTTACTATTTAAACATAGTCTTCAAGTAATTTACTGCATCTATTTACATATTAAAAAGCAAGAAGTTTGGTGGTTTTTTTCCCCTAAAAATAATTCAAATGGTGGCCAGAATTTAGAGAATAGATGATGATACTCACAAGACTGGGGAAGGACATGCAGGCAGGGTGTTTATTAGAAGGAATGTCTATAAACGTGGGCTAAGTTGGAGTGGCCTTACCCACTCTAGTTGCTAAGTTCAGCTCTTAGTTGGGGAGTTCACCAACCACCAGTTAGTTCAATGTAACCAACGAAAGTCAGATTCCCAACCATTACCCCCACTTGTCCCCAAACTAAGCAAGCAAGCAACCAACCTTTAAAGCAAGTTAAAAAACCCACAGCTAAAAGGATGGCCCATGTTCCATCAAACACTCATTTTGCTGGCCAACATTGTGAGGTTGGATCAAATCGGTGATGACTTTTTCTAAGCTAAAGACCTCATCTTCCTAAATTTATGTATACATACGTTGTTTCTTATCCTAGTCTTTACTTAACAATGGCTTATCAAAATATGCAGCCATTTCCACTTTAACTTATAGACCAGGCTTGATCTTAGAACATGGTGGAGACATGTATGTTTTACATTAAGCGTAAACCTTAACACTACTGGGAGTGCTGGCTGAACTGAGGCAATGCCTGAAGCCATTTGTTGCAGTTCAAAAAGTGTTTGACATTTTATCCAGATCTAGAAACCACTTAAATGAATGAGGAACAATTTAACCTAATCCATTCTAAGACTTATTTCAGATTCTCATTCAGAACTATCTTATTATTCACAGAATTAGTACAGCTCATAAGGACTTCATAGACACAGCTAATAACCACAGAGGCTTATCAGTATGGTGAAAAAAAACAACAGATCAAAGTAATGATCTGAGTTATTGCCAGGCATCTTAATAATTAAACAAGTTTAACTGTTTACTCAATGAATACAGTACACATTGGTTACTCCTATTAACTCCAAGTTGGATAATTTAGTAGATATGTCTCTATTTTGTTTTTTCTCCAACCTCATCATCTAATGAAAACTTTCAGTCATGTTTACCAAACCCCTTTAAGTTCAAGTAATTTGGATGTCATGTTTAATTTTTACTTTTTTTACTCAACCATTTAAAAAATATTTTAGTCCTCTGACTATAAAAATTGGTCAAGCCTGAAGTTCATCGAAGTTCTAATCCATGGCTGGGCTGTCATGACTGGCAGGCAAGGGTTTCTCTTAGAGTTTAGAGTACTTTTCAAGTTCACTGGACAGATTAGGATACAGTAATTCATCTCATTCAATCTGTTTTTCCATATACACAGCACAAGTCAATGTTTGTTATGACTTTCCTGATCCTTATTTATAAGACAATACAAGAGGAAACCATGTGTGTATGTTTAGAAATAGAAATGATACATTGCACAGATATAGTTCACCACATTATGGGATGGATTGTCAGTGTTCAAATGGGGAGGCTGAAGAGTAAGAACAGATGCTTTTTTTCCTTAATGGCCCTTTCTCTGATTTAAAATCCTTCCATTTATTTCCCTAAGATTTAGTGATAACTTTAAACACTTTAACTAAATTACCCAGCGGCTTGGCAGCCATCACAGAGGCAAATCCTTTTAGAAATCTTAGCAATCTGTTAGATTGTGGGTACTATGATATAAAATCTGTGTGCTCCACATACAAAAATTAAATCAGTGCTATGGATACAAATACATACTGCAAATGGCACCATTTCCAAACCCAGGGTATGTGACCTGTCTCCAAATATTGAATTTCCTTTTTTTTTTTTTTTTTTTTTTTCAGTAGTTGACTTTCTAAATTTGGGCCAATTTATTCTCATTGTCCCTAGGTAAACCTACTTTGATTTTTTTTTAACAGTTATTTTATAATCAAATAGAGCCAGCCAGCCGTGATTCGTGGATCCTGATGTTGCTAGGTTACATGGTTTGGTATATGATGAAAGTATATCACTTCAAAGGGGTAAAACTTCCAAGTGTCCGAGAAAATGACACTCCCATCTTCCACCATGGAAGACAGACTGAATCCTATAACTCCTCAGAAGTTCACAGACTGCAGGATTGGCCTCCCAGGCTTTCAAATAAGTATCCTCTCTGGAGGGCTGTTTAGTTGCTAAAACTAGTCAGATTAGTCTTAAAGCAAGGAACACACATATTTATAATAAAACATGTTTTCATGTTTGTTTTACAGTAAAGAGAAAAAAACCCAGAACCCCCAGATTTTATGTACTTTGAAAATATATTTAAAAACATTAAAAATTCTATATTTAAAACATATATTATATGTTAATTAGTACACTTAAATAGAACTTGTATTTACAATAGGCTTCTGATGCGGTTAAGTTTTAATGCCAATTTTTTCAATAACATAATTATATAAATATACTAAAATACAATAAATATTTTTTTGTTTTACATGGTGAATAATATCTTTACCATAGAGAGAACAAGGCCACAGACATTTACTTACATTTTCAATGGGAATCACCATAAAAAAGCAACAGGCCTGCTGCCACGCATGAAACACTTCTGCCACAAGAGACCACAGCAAGACTTTAAAACAAAACAAAACAAAACAAGAACAAACAGCAACAGAGAGAGATTTTAACAGAATAAATCTTAGGTCAACATCATAATCCACCAAGCATGTGACTGTGATGTATCTTATTGGGTAAGAGAGCCACTGACCACACAATTGTTGGATGTGTCTCCCATGAAACCACTTAACAGATCTGGCCCTTGCAATTCTTTAAGACTGTGATGAGGACTTTTTGTTTGTTTGTTTTAAATTTGTCCCTCAGAAGGAAGCTACATAAAGTTAACATACAGCAGATATTCCAAGCATTCCTTACATATGAAAAATAATTACAAAGATAATATTTTCAAACAACACAAAACAAACCTATGCTACATAGTCTTTCTTCTTTCAAAGACAGGTATTCAGATGGTACTGTGAAAGACAGGCTAGCTCTAAATGAAAGACTGAACAAATTGAAATTCTTTGCTGATAGTATCTTCATTCCTGGATCGTACTGAACATCCTCTTTTGCTTATCCCTCACCCTACAAAGATGCAGCAATTGCTTGGGGCTTTCTGATACTCAAGGACACTGGTCCAAGTGGTAATCAGTAACATTTTCAGGTGTGAAATGGGTTGAATGGGCTTAGAGCACTAGTTTTCACTGGGGGTCCATTTTTCCAAGAACCACTATTCCAGGCTCCCAACTTGACTTCTAACCCAACATGGCAGAGGTGAGGAAGGGACCCTCTCCATGAACAGACAGGATGGGCAGAAGGGTTGCTGTGGCCTTCACTGGGGAGCAAAATTTTGTCAGCTCTGTCCTGCCCTCTTCCATTGAGCAAGGCACCTTCAAGTCTTGATGTTCTGAATGTCCAGACGCCTTCCCGAAATCTTGTCTCTGGACAAGATTTCCTATGGATCCCCTTGATCATTCAGCCTGAGTTTGGGGTTTCTTTTCCTGTTCCCTTTCCCCTTATCAAAAGTCCTCAAAAGATAAACCCTGGTTTCCTCAAGTCTAATTTCAAAGCAATAAGTGTTCATGTAGCAAACATCTTCTATCTCATTGCATCAGTCATGATCACAAATGCCACATTTGGCTTCCAACCTGTTCCAGGCTAATCCAATTTTATGCAAAATTATCCAGAGGTGGGATGGAGGGCATAAGTCGGTTTGAGTGTGGTCCTCCAGTTGAGAACCTCTTGAGCACAGTTAGATAATGTAGGCACTTAAAGCACGAGGTCCAAGCAGCTTGACAAATGTCATTCCAGAGCCACCTCTGAAGGGTCCTTCAGAGGCCTTCCTTTTGGAATGTCTCAAATACCATGCCCCACCTCCACCTAGGCCTTGGGATGGCCACTCAGAAATTCCTCCTGCACTGCCGGTAAATGCTATGTCAGCTCCACATAGCCTCCATATGGCTGTTCAGTCTCATGTCACTGGCAATGTGGATTCCTGTTCTGATCTAGGTGTTTCTGGGTTCATACAGGGCTCTCCCTTTTGCTTGCAAGGTATTTGCAAGACATTGTTAAGCCTTAACCATGAGTTTTTTTAAGCTTTACCATGATTTGCCCAAATGTTTACCCCTTATAAAAAATAATCTTCATTTTGGGGTTATTTTTTGTTTTCTTTTCTAAAAAAAAAAAATCACTATTCTCCATGCTTATATGAGTGTTATGATGTAACACAATGTGTTCACTTGTTTACAGCAGTGGTAAAATATTTCAGAGCGTGCAACTGATTTTTCTTCTTTAAAACAAAACAAAGAGGAGACCAGAGGGGGAGGGAGGGAAAGAATGTGCTCTGAGCAAACATAGGTCCTTCCATCAAAAGCAGCTTACTCTGACCAACGCCCAAAGAATGAGCGGGGGCCTGGGAGGTGCATCATGGGATGTGGAGTGTGAGCATTGTTTTTGTTCAGTTTCCTTAATTTTTATTCACTTTCCAGTCATCTGATTGATATTGCAAACATCTTCACAACATACAAATGTATATTTTATCAACCAGAATACATATTGAAGGAATTCTTTCCCCATCCCTACTCCCTGTGGGAACTTAAAAACAAAACAAACAAACAAACAAAAAAAAACACAAAACAAACAAAAATATACCCCTCCCATCCCCCATCCCCTAAGCCAGTAAAGCAATGACAACAGCACCTTGACATTGTTTTAATTCCAACGCTATCAGAAGTTAAAAGCAGTAAAACAGATGATATAGTACTAACAAGAACGAAGATACTTACTGTCTAAAATGTAAACGGAATGTTTTGGTTCAATTTTTTGGTGTGTGTATGTGTGTGTGTGTGTGTGTGTGTGTGTGTGTGGTGTGTGTTTTGTCTGTTTTCTGAAAGAGGACAGTTTATTATCAATTCACAATTAAAGCAGCATGCAATTTATTATTTTTTTAAACTTTTTATGTTTTCAATTCTTGGCAACGGCAACAAACCACAACATTATCAAGGAATGTAATGCAGACTTTTTTAAAGTTGTGCGCAAATGACTGTTTCCCTTCTGGTCGTGGACATGTCCAATAAATAGATTGTAGAACCACTGTACTGTATAAACTTCATTTATACATGCAGTTCATAAAATTATTTTTTTCTTAACTGAATAATTTACCCTGTTATGTATATATACAAATAGATAATTTTTGTCTCAATATAATCTATACAACATAAATCCACTATCTTCCCCTTTTAATGGTCAATGTACATACACAAGAAGTGTCTATCCTTATGAATCGCCAGCCAATTCTCTTTTTGCTATCCATGGTAAGGGCCCGCACGTACGACTGGGTAGTTCGGCACTGGGAGTTCCAATGCCTTTTGTCTATGCCCCTGCAGCCTTCTTTTGTGTAACCCATGGGATTGCACTTGGTCTCGTAGAAGTATTGCTTCAGTTGGCCTTTCGATACAGGGACCTTTTCAAGGACTGTGACCGTCCCGCCCGACATGTCCACTGCAGTCTTTTTGTCTGCCGCTGTTACCCACTCACTAATACTGTCACACACACTCAGCTCCCCTCGGCGGGCAGGGTCAGAGTGGCGCCGGACCCTCATGGACATGTTTGCAGCATCCAGGTAATTTTTGTATTCCTCCAGCAGAAAGAGAAGAGGAGGCTCCAAAGGCACTTGACTACTGAGCATCACCCTGGACGTGTACAAGTCTGCGTCCTTATTGTTTTCTTCATGGGGCCGAACTTTCTGGTCCTCATCCAACAGCTCTTCTATCACATGTTCGAAAGTGTCGGCCAACGACGACGTCAGGCCTCTTGAACCTGCCTTGGGCCCATTCACGCTCTCCAGAGTCCCGTGGGTCCGCACACCTGGGTAGGCCAAGCCACCTTGTCCTCGGACGTTTGCTTCTTTCATGGGGGCAGCCTTCATGCAACCGAAGTATGAAATAACCATAGTAAGGAAAAGGATGGTCATCACTCTTCTCACCTGGTGGAACTATAGGGAGAAAGCAGAAACAAGACAGAAAACTGGTTAGGGCTTTCTTTCAACAGGATGCCATGTGGCCCATCTGATTGTAATTCCAGGCTATTCTGCAGGGTCAAGGTTTTTTTTTATGTCTTGGTGATAAACTCCAGCTGCACCAGACACAAATCAATGTCAGTAGTGTGCTGTATGTGGTATAATATAAACCAGAGATGTGCAGTGTTTCCCCCAAGATCTAGCATATAAACCTGAGATTAGATGGCTTCTAAGCAAGTGTAAAAATTGTGGCTTCAAGTTCTCCTCCTTCCTCCCACTTCAGCAGCTTTGTAAGCTTAATTTTTAATGATCTCTGCTCATGCTGTCACAAGAAACACAAAATCAGAAACGTTACTAAGCAACAATTGCAAGTGTAATAGTAATTTTTTTTCAAGTTAGCTACATGGTCCTTTGCAGGAATGTGTGACAGGAACAGCAGTGGCCTGAGGGGTCTGATGGCCCTTTCTAGCTATGTGATGTCTAGGCATGAATAGCACAATAAAACAGCAGTTGGGAGCTATAAGGAGCCTTTAAATGGACTTTTTTCCCCTCTTCCCACAGAGATACTCTATTATAGCAAAGAACAAAGATAATTTCATGAGCCATCCTGTTTTACAGATAAGGAAACCCAAGGCTTGCCTTTGGACGACTTGCCTCATGTTATGAAGAAAGTTTATGTTAGAACTCAGGGCTCCCAATTCCACTGTTCTTTCTTCTACACCTGGGTGGTCACAACTGAAAATGTTTTGCTTATTTCTAAACAGAAATCATTTTCAACATGTTCATTTTAATGATGTGCCTTTGCCTGGGGCTGATATCATGAAAACAATGTGTCTGCTAAAGAGAAAACTGAAAAAGTCAGCATTAAGAAGGCATTTAAGTCAATTTCAAATGCCTCCCATATGTAGACTCCACTTTATCTCCTCCTCAAATTCTCTAAAACCCTTCACCCCTTGGCCTTTTCTGGCTAATGCACACATCTAGTTAAGAATGCTCAACTTTTCCTTTTACTGGAGATGTGGTCGTGTGTGTGTGTGTGTGTGTGTGTGTGTGTGTGTGTGTGTGCATGCGCGTGTGCGCGAGTTTATCCTAATTTTAAAAAACTGAGTAGTATTTTACACATTTTGGAATAGGCAGCTAGTGCTTCTTTTTCTGCTTTTGAAGTTTCCTGGGAAGTCCCTTAAAAGCATACCACAAAATTAATCTTTTCCTGTTTGCCAGAGGGTTGCTCTACTCTAAATTTGGCTCTACATCTATAAGCATGCTCTAGGAAGCCAATTAAAATGGATGAACAAGCAAAACGAAAACGTACCTATAGACCAACCCAAGGTTACCGTCAGGTGGTTAAGGACTTCAGAACCACTTACCTGAAGCATTGTGTCCCTCCAGCAGCAAAGAGTAGCATCCCCAGCCCTGACACTAATTTTATTCCTCCTCAGTTCTGAGGCATGGACTTACACAAAGACACCACATACATGCAATGGCCATCATGTTATTCAAGTAAATAGGAAAAGGAACTATGTTTCTGCCCATAAAATTTTATTGAATGCAAAGGCAACCTACCTCCAGTCAATAAGTCAGAATGTAGAAATTTCTGAAAACTCTGATATTGAAAAGCAAATGTTCTACACTTTTGTAAGAAAGAACATTTTCAACTACTAAGAGATTTTATTACCATCCTTGTTTAATTTCTTTTAGATTCTCCCTTTGTGTGAATAGCAAACATGCTTAGAACTGCTTAGATTACACAATGGTCTCAGATTAGGAAGTGGAAATTGGTTTGAATAAAATACAGATGTCTATTCTGCTAATAACTAAATCTTTGTGAATGTTGTGAGTCCTGCACCATCAAAGACATAGATCCTCCATGGGGGTTTCTATTTCTGGCAGACAGTACTCACACCAATGAATGAAAAAGCTTTTGCCTAATATTCCCAGTCCAAATAAAAACAACCCAAGAGGTACTTCTTATTTAGGTTAATGAAAGGTTGCAAATTTGGAATACTTTAGCCAACTATGTCACACTGGTAGAGACTTTCTGTGATCAGCTATCTTTTAATACCATATTTAATCAAATCTAAGATACCACCATTGTGAAACATAACATTTTGTATACCACTAAGAAAGCAAAAATGCAGCCTGGGTGACAAGCGTGAAACTCTGTCTCAAAAAAAAAAAAAAAAAGATTAATGAACTATAGTTAATTTAATATCCATTTACTAAGTGCCCACACTAACTAAAAATGGCCCAAAGTACTGAGGCATCTTAAGCTGCTGGAAAATTGTTATCACCACTACAGTAATGAGTCCTTGAATGATACTTGGCTTCTACTTGACTCTGCCTTTCACTGGTCTTATCTTTCTATTAATAACTGTTTTATCAGAAAAATAATGCTTTATATGTTGTTTTCTCAGATCCACAAGCAAATATTTTAGAGGAAATATGGGCATGTGAGGAAACCAAACATGGGCATTCCTCAAGCTGAGCATCTGCATAGAATTAGGAACTAACAAAATGGTGAAAAAGTCCAATCCCTCATTGCAAGCCCTGCTCTCTGACTGGCACTTCTGCAAATCTAACTGCCTACTCACTCATAAGGCCTTGAAGTCAAGTGGATGTAACACCAAACTCAATACTTTTTGTCAGAACAGTGGTATCTTCTATCTTTTCTGTTTCTAACAATGGTTTCCTGGTATTATGGACAACCCAGGCATAGGACAGAAATCCTGGAATCAAGTTTGACAATATATTTCCTGTATAGCCTTCCAATCCAGTCAGTGAAGATATCCTGTTAATTTTTCCTTTAAAATATTTCTCCTGGCCATCCCTTTTTATCTATCCCACTGCCACCATCTTGGCTCAGCCCTCACCACCTCCTTTTGTGACCACAATGTCCCTATGCTGTATCAGACACTCTTTCTGCTCCATTCAACTCTGATGACCTCTTCCTGACTAACCACTCTCATAGTATTATTCTCTGACACAAAAGCTTGCAATGGCTTTTGCGTTCTACCTGCTCAAATCTAATGTCTTCTATCTGATATTCAACACCCTCCAAAATCTGCCCTCACCCTTCCTAACTAACTTTCTCATATTACTCAATGCTTCGTCACTTCTGCTCTGATCAGGTCAGAGTCCTTGGAGCTCCAAACACGTTACTGTCTCCTGACTTGTTCCATTCCTCTGGCAAACTCTTCTCTTTCCCTCTCGCTCACTGCTTAAATCTTGCTTATCCTTCATGATCCAGTTGAAGCATCAAATCACGCATGTCCCCTTCTCTAATTACTCCAGCACACACTGCCTTCCTTCCCTAAAATTCCACATTACATCTTACGTAGTACTTGATTCCCTTCTCACTTGTTTTGTGTTGCCAAAATGGAGTCTTGCTGTGTCACCCAGGTTGGAGTGCAGTGGCACAATCTTGGCTAACTGCAACATCCGCCTCCCAGGTTCAAGCAATTCTCCTGCCTCAACCACCCAAGTAGCTAGGATTACAGGTACCTGCCACCATGTCCGGATAATTTTTGTATTTTTAGTAGAGATGGGTTTTCACCATGTTGGCCAGGCTGGCCTATTCACTTGTTAATTGTTAACCATATTTGCTCATTCTGGTCAGCCTTCATCTGGAAGGTAAGTTCTTTGAGGAAATGGATCATATCTGAGACCCCATAATGCTTAACACAGAAAAATGTAATAGCAGCACTCAGTAAAAACTTACTGATGGGCTTATTAAGCTAAGAGAAAAGACAGTTTGGATATAATTTTCATAAGAAGTCTTTTCATTTGGAAAGATCAGTGAACTCATTGAAATTCTTAGGTAAATACAGGCTGTGCTAGCCCCAAATTATAAACTCTAAGGCAGCGGTCCCAAACTTTTTGGCACCAGGAGCTAGTTTTGTGGAAGACAATGTTTCCATGGTCTGGGAGCAGCAGGGGGGATGGTTTCGGTATAAAACTGTTCCACCATAGATTATCGGTTACATTCTCATAAGGATTTGGACTCTCATAAGGAGCACATAACCTAGATCCCTTGCATGTGCAGTTCACAATAGGGCTCATGCTCCTATGAGAATCGAATGCCGCTGCTGATCTGAAAGGAGACAGCTCAGATAGCAATGCTTGCTCACCCGCCACTCACTTCCTACTGTGCAGCCTGCTTCTTAACAGGCCACTGACTGGTAACAGCCCATGGCCTGGGGGTTAGGGACCCCTGCTCTAAGGAATTTGACAGATGGCAGTTATCAGCCACGAGCAACTTCTTGAGTTCCTCTAATGGGGTAAAACTTTACTTGAATAATTAAAAAGCAAATAATACTACCACACACTAACTGTCCTACTATTTCCTGTGTAGCTCTAACAGATCAATAAGAGACTTGGGAAGTAGTCAGTAATAGTAATAACAACAATAATAGCAAAATTTGTAGTTTTCAGCCTTTTAACTTCCTGTTTCTTATTCTGCTAAGCTTTCAATAAGTAACCTTATATACTGTACTGGGAAATCATAAAAGAGTAAATAAGAGCTTCAAGGACAATTCTTCATTTTCAGCTTTCAGATGAGTCTTTATCACACATAAGAGGCTGTGCAATATTGCTAAGTAGATTATATATTTATTTTACACTTAATAAATTCATTGATGTTGTCTAATTCTGCTTTAAGGCTTACAACCATTAATTCAACCACATCTATAAAATGCTAGGAAGGCCTTCTTAGCCCCACTCTCAGGAAATTCAATACAGTACATAGAACTAAAAAGAAAATGAATGAAGTAGATATCAAGTTTAGCTTTAAGCATGACTCACAAGTCTTAGACATTCCACTGAAAGAATGTCCATGACAACATGCTGTTTTACTCTTGCTGTAGTCATAACTTGGATTTGTCTAAGAGACTACAGAACATTCACAGGCATCATCTAATTTGATTTTTACAAGGAGACAGGATGGGTATTATTATCCCCATTACGTAGATGAGGCAATT